CAACAACAACATCTGTAGCAATAACAACGAGAGGCAGCAACGGAAAGATGATTCCAAGATGGACCCGAAAGGATTTTGAAAGGATCGCCCCAAGATGCCCACCCCTGCTAAGTAATGGCCCCAATATGACCCCAGAGCAACCCTGCGACCCCAGGAAGACACCGAGACGAACCCATTGTCTTCGGACAAGGCTACCGCGTGACTCCGATTTTACTCCGAGGTGGCCCCAAAACGACCCCATCCCATGAGTCCGGGACGACTTCGAGATTACCCCAAGATGACCTCTTTCAGCCCTAGTTGACCCCAAGATTGTGTCAATATGGCTCCAATGTGACTTCGATCACTTTCTTCCTTCTCCCCTTGCTCTTGGCCCTTGGCCTGGGCCGATAGGACGGATGGTGGTGCTGGCTCTCCACCCTCTCGTCGTCGTCCTTTTCCTCCTCCCCCTCGTCCTCGTCGCTGTCCGCCTGGCCCCTTGGCCCCATACATAGCAGAAAACCTGATCCCGAAAACAAAATCCATCCATGCTCTGATAGAGGTCCGCCAGCCTCCCCAAAAGGCCCTCCGAACCCCTGTGGAGGCGAAAGAATATCGTCAATCATTTCAAGAATAACAAGACAGGAAACGAAAACGGAAGTCCTCGATCGGCAACAGAGGAAGACGAATCTTAGCAAGGCAACACTTCGCACGTGAGCGCCCGACATCGCCCGAAGAAGGCTGCACAAGCGGCCCAAGATGCCCATGAAAACGCCAGAACGACTCCAAAAGCGGATACTAACCTCCAGACCCTTCGGCCCCCCGGACTTCTCCCGGGCGCCACCCCGAGCGACTCCCTGGGGCGAGCCCCAGCCCGTGATGGCGATAAGCCTTCCGGAGGCCAAACAGAAGTACAGTGGAAGCCACATATAGGGATGATCATCAAGGATGCTAGCCCAAAAGGGTGGCAATCAACATCAACACCATCACCGTCACGAACACCATGATAATCATCACCAACATCATCATCCTCATCCTCCTCATCCTCATCATCATCATCATCATCATCATCATCAGCATCAGCATCAGCATCAGCATCAGCATCAGCATCAGCATCAGCATCATCATCCTCATCCTCATCCTCATCCTCATCCTCATCCTCATCCTCATCCTCATCCTCATCCTCATCCTCTCATCCTCATCCTCATCCTCATCCTCATCCTCATCCTCATCCTCATCCTCATCATCATCATCATCATCATCATCATCATCATCATCATCATCATCATCATCATCATCATCATCATCATGATTATCAACCTCGTCATCGTCACGCGAGCGCTCTCTGACATGACTCAAACTGCAATGGTGTTAGAGCTCTCTCACAACCTTCCTTGGCAACGCGGGCCCTCGTGGCAGTGCTCTTCGAGGCATCTTCGGGCCACGTGGAAGCCACCTGGGGCGTGTTGAGCGCAGCTGTTAGCGATTGGGGGCGTTATTGGAGTTTGTCGGGGGCTCTGTGGGTTACCTTGGTCCGACTCAGGGCCGTTCGGGACGCCTCGGGGGCGCTTCGAGGGCCGTCTTTGGGCCCCCGGGGGCTCCATTGGCACCTCCTGGGGGGCGTCTGGGACGACCTTGGGGGCCTTTGGGGCCGTCCGAGAACGTGGAATGAGCCTGACCGACCGGTGAGCTGGACGACCGAGCTCGGCACAGGGCTTGTCCACAGGGCTTGGCGGACGACAGCTGGCAACCTCCAAAAACTCTTGGGAAGCCAGCGTTGACCTCTCATGGGGTCTCCCACTATACTTCCGTCAATTTCCGCCGAGCTTCCACCAGCGGCATTGTCCTCGTTTTACTTGCGTTGGCTTTCGCCGAAGGCGAGAGGTTCACCCTTCGAGTCCTCATACTGGATCGATGCACATCTCAATGGCGCACGGCGGATCGGACCGAAACTGGAATCCAAGAGGCAGATCGGCCAGGAATCGCAGCTCCTAAGTTGGCCAGGCCTCTCAGGGGCCACTGGCGAAAGTCCATGGAAGGCCTGGCCAAGCTTGGTGCTGGCATATCACTGACCCCTCCCGCCAACTTGACGCGACGCCCCATGATTTCCGAACCAGCCGGCCTTGAAGGCGAAGTGATCTTACTTTTTTGGAGCAAAAGACAAGGCGAGGTACAGCAGCAGTAGTCTGGCTGATGGGGCAACGTCGGGCCTCCCCTCCGACGAAGTGCCACACAGCATCTAAGGCAAAGAAAGTCCGCCCACCCCTTTGGGTGACTGGCGTGTGAAGTTATTTCCTCCCAAAATCCCCTCGGCAGAGGACGGGGAACTCGCCTCATGCAAGTAACAGCTACCCTCACCCGTCAGACAAATGGCCCCGATTCACATATTTGCCGCTGGCAACAAGGAGGGTTCCAGTCTCCCGGAGTGTTCATCTGACAAGTGGCCCAAATTGTCGAATGGGTCATCGGCGACAGCATTGACAGGACATCTAAATGAGCCCAGAAAGGGGGAGATCTCGGGCGAAATTGGTTGAACCACCTCAGGTCTGAGCATCCCCGAAACACAATCCCGGCGACGTCTCAAGCGAAAAGAACCCAGACCACGTGAGGTGAGGACATAAAGACATGAACCTGGAGTTGCAACAGCGAGGAAACGGGATCGGATACCGTGAGGCAAGAGCATCGACTAACCCAGAATAACAAGGATGTATCGGGCGAATATGGCTGCACGACCTCGTGCCAGGTCATATCCCAGCCCAGAGTTGTGAAGAAGCGTGAAGCGAAACTGGCTGGAGCACCTCAGGACAAGGCATCCATGGGCTCTGAATTGCGAGAGTGTGTGGGGGGAAGCTGGATGGACCTCTCGCGTGCCTCGAAGCCCACAACTGCGAGGATGTCTCAAGCAAAACGGGCTAAGAGCTAGACCGCCTCAGGACAGCGGCGAGGCTGTCGAAGCAAAATGAACTGGACTATCTCTCGCGCGGCATCTCAAAATCCACACTTACAGGGATGTCTCAGGCGAGCTCGGCCGGACAACCTCACAGGCGGCATCTCCGGGCCCGAAATTCCGAAGATGAATTCGCCGAAACCGACCCGGACAACTTCTCGCATGGGGTCTCCGAGCTCAAAAACCCACCCGCCCTCTGGGCAAGAGATGGTCAATCGCGATTCCTTGTCCAACCGCATTTTTCCCCTTCGGGGATGGGGTCATCGCTGCTCCTGGATAACATATGCCACCTCGCCCAATCTACCGACCGCTAACCCGAGTCACTGCCACGCCCCATGATTCCAACCAACAACAAATTGAAATACACCCAGGCGGCTCCATCATTGGATCTCGAAGATGCGGTGCGATCCGTCAGAACCATGATCATCGAATGATCATGGTTATGTAGATCCGCCACCGTGCCTCTGGGCACGGAGTGGGCGTGCCCTCATGTCTTTGCCATGATCCTCTCAACCTCAGTCCTCACTCCTGCGGAGTCGTTCAGAGCCCCAGACCCCGCATCGCGATTCTTCTCCTGGGGCTTCTCGCAGTTGCTCGCGTGACTGTTTCGGAGCGATGGGGGCCCCAAGACGGGCCAATGGGACACAAAGAGGCCCACGACGGCCCCAAAACGCCGCGAGACGAAAATCCGAGCGTTCCGCCACAAGAGGCTCCCATCCCAGGAGGCCCCCAGAGGCACCAAAGAGGCCCCAACAGGCTTCAAGAGGCCCCCAAGGGACCCAACAGCGACCCCAAGAGGCTTCCAAACTGCCCCCACGAGGCCTGGAAACTGCATCCAAGAGGCCCCCTAAAGGTCCCCCACGAAATCCCGACGAACCTTCAATAAGCTTCATACCCACAACCCAGGCACAGTGGCGGGATGGGCCGAAGGCCATTCGATATAGAGGAGTCCGAGGTGCAACAGAGAATCAGGAGTCCAGGGGGCGAGGCTCAAGCCTGGATGTCTCACTTGAACTCTTTCCCGCCGTGCTCAGAAAGGCACCCCGACAACAAACGAATCATACACACGTCGCTCAGTTGGGGTGGGCGGCAGAGGCGGCAACCTGTAGATTTCCAAGACCGATTCAGGCGTGCGCTCATCGGCCTCTCATCGATGCCCAGACTCAGAAACACAGCACCAGGCCCGGAATCACCAGGCACCACGTCACAGGGATGATAACAAGATCCTGCGTACATGATGAGCCCGAAGAGCTCATCACATCCAGCTGGTCCTTCGTGGCCACGTTCGCGAAAAAGAGGACGACGTAGTTAATGGCGAATCGGGGATCTTCTGATCCGGGTCAATCCAGACCCGGGTCAGCAGGAAACCAAAAAATCGCAATGCAGGAAAAAAAAAAAGCTGCAACGCAGGTCTTCGCAAACCCGGGTCAGCCAAAATATGCGCGGCCGCCTCGCGGCCACGAGCGGCACGCTAACCCAGGTCAGCCAGAGGGGCTCCTCGCAGGATCCTGCAGGACCCGGTGCCCTGGCTGACCCCCGTTTGCCTTGACCCCCGTCTCGAAGCTCCCGAGCGAGCACGCTGTACAGAGTGCCGGCACACAGATAAGACCGCCGCGCCTGCGGAACCTCCGCAGCAGCGGCTTCCACTCTGGGCCCCCTCCCTCGGACGCTCGCGCAAAAGATTGCGCTGGCACGCCACTGTGATGATAGGCAACGGGATGTTCGCCAAGATCGAGGAGTACACTCCGACCGCCATGAGCCGTCCCAACGTCTGCCACGCGCAGTCGTCATCCTCGCACTCCACGCTGCACTCTGACGGGGGGCCTCTCCCCAGAGCGACACCAGTGGCCGTGAAGAAGGCGGTGGCGATCATCCCGGCCCCCAGGGGCTCGCAGCCGAGCAAAAGAACCCTCATACACCTCGTCATTGTGGTGCTCCGCACAGACACAGAAATGACAGGGCAACAAATCAAGAAAGTTAGCCCCGCCATGCGAGCCGCGTGGCACCACCCGCGTCGCCGCTGCAGTGCGCTCTCCTGGCTCGCCCGCACCCTGGTGACCACCTCGACCAACATGTCATGACGCCGCTGGGCAGCACCGTTGCCAGTCTCGGCGGCTATGCTGGCGATGGTTCGTCACGGGGCTCCCTTGTCGTCGAGTTCGCCTGGCGCCGGCACCTCAGCAGGAATTCCAGGTCTTGGATGTGCATCAGCAGCGAGGCGCAAACATACTGCTTCGCGTTCCTGGCGGCGAGCATTTTGCTGACGTCGGCCAGTTTGACGCGCCCGCTGAGAAAGCCCCACGTGAAGGAACTGAGCACCTCAATGGTTTTCTGGACCCCCGCGGCGCACTGCGTGAGACTGGTGCAGATTTCCACGAGGATGTTTTGCAGCATAACTCCGCAAGATTCTTTCGATCCCTCATTGACTGCATCAAACGCCGCTCCTGCCTGTATCACAGCAGCCGTGCCCCTGCCATTTGAATGCGTGCCTTTCGTGCCCGTAGTTCGTACTCGCGTAGAAAATTATTGGCGTGATGTTGGGGTGACTTTTGCTGAGTCAGTGCCGATCAACGTCCCCGACGACATGGCCAGGATGGCGTGGTCACTGACGACTGGTGTCATTGGATCGTCATCAACGACTTCCCCCGCCACGCGCTCGGGGACAACAAACTCTTCCGTTCGCCAGCAACCCGCCCTGGCATCCCTGACGTCACACGCATGCGCCGTCTGCAGCATGGCGAGGTACATGAACATCACCGCATACAGCATTACCGAGCCCACAGAATCCGACCAGTCCCCTGTCTACAACTCATCGTAGAACTCCGCCGACAGCAAGGTGGCCAGGCTGCTCTCGAGCTCGCTGATGAAGCCCTTCAATCTGGCACCGGAAAGGGTGAGGTGCGTGACCGCGCACTGGAGCGTGCCATCCGTGCCGAGTGGCGTGGTTGCCAACCCTTTTGAAGTCCACTCCATAGCGTCTTCGTCGAAGTAGCCGCATACGAGGCCGCTGCTCACATTCGGCAGGTCGATCAAGATCGGATTGGCGAGGCCTGCCACTAAAAGGGTAGAACCATCAACTGTTAACTTCACTTCTGAGCCGCCAGCGCCTGCGGGTACGGCAACCACGCCAGTGGGTGGCATTCCTCACATATGGCAGAAAGAAAAATACGTCGACAACATCATCCCGATCTGCCGTGACAACCGTGACCTCAATTCCGAGGATAGCCACTATTAGTAGACTGATTCGATTAAACAATTTGCATGACAACCATGTCCTCCGCTTTCGCGGTATCCGCCAACGTCATCAAATCCGTGGATTCGCCTGTGGTCGTCGCGCTCTCCGTTGCCGTGCCATTGGAAGGAGTGGTCGTGGAGGTATCCTTCGAGATAATCAGCGAGGTGCTCGTCGGAGGAGCGGGTGCCAGAGTCGATAATGTGAGGGTCGTGGCTGCCAGAGTCGATAATGTGAGGGTCGTGCTGCGCAGGGACGTCGTAGAGGTCTCGGTGGTGGGAATGGTCCCGAACACGATGCCTAAGGCCATGCGTTCCCCTTGCCCGACACTTCTCCGTAACAGCACATGATGACGGAGTCCCCCGCCTGACCACTCGAGCCCAAGGCGATTGACGCGGTAGGTTCTTCACTCACCAAATTGGTGGAATCAACCGTGAGGTTATAATCAGGGCCACCCCAAACGGTCCGCAAAACGTTGCACGTGACACCCTTTTCGATTGCATAGCATACGAGAGCTGCTGGCTCCAAGTCGACCGCCAAGGTTGTTCCAGCGATCCACGAGGTCGGATTCTCGTTCACAGCCACTGTATTCGCCTCCACGAAATCACTGAGTAGCGGATCCACGAAGCCAGACGGGCTACTCCACCTGAACAGCGTGCGCTGCAAAGCGCCTGTGCTGACGCCGCTTATGTAGCAGACCACGCCGTCAGTAAGGGTAAGGCCAACCACGACCCGTCCCTCGTAATTGGCTCTCCCCTGCGACGACGCCGACGAAAGAGTAAGACATCGAGACACAGCGGCTGGAAGGACAAGCCAGGAGAGACCTATCGAAGATGAACTCGTCCACTGCATTAGCGATTTTTCCAATGGATCCCACTCGCAAAGCCGTGCATATGCCCTTGCCAACTTCGTCCGCACGGCAGACCACCGCGACATCAGAATCGGTGATAGTGGAGACTGCGTATCATACAGTCTCGACCGAGCTGACCACATACATGTCTGCCATCATGATGGTGTCACCAGCGATCTCTAGCGAGGAGCGCGTGGTGGTGAGTGACGAGTTCGCCAAAATCCAGTAGCAGACAAACGCTCTATCTGAATATAACCGCGGACCGGCAACCACGGAGATATGTTCGGTGAGGCCGATGTTGAAAACGAACATCGGAGCCAAGGAGACCTCACCTGCCTCGTCCCAGAGGAGCTGGCAGTTACCTGCGCCTCCATTGACATAGTCTATGTAGCACAGAATCTGGATTGCATCCTGAATGCTCGCGAGTGAACCGAAGCTGGTGCCTCCCTAGGTTGCTGGCCCCCCCCCCCTGGCAGAACTCCATCGAAACCACCACGCTGAGCGGCGGCAAAGCGGGCTCGGCGATAACGCGCGTCAGCCTGATGGTTGGAATGGCAACTGCATTGTCGCTGACTCGACTCTCCAACGACCCTCGACTCACCAACGACCCTTACAGTCGGGGCGTTGACCTAAGGAACCCTACATAAGGAACTTTCCATAAGTTAAACTTCGATTTCCCATCGAAAACATAAGGAAAACCTGAGGCAAGCTGCGAAACACTTAAGGAACGCGGAGCCCCTCCCCAACCAAAAGGGTTCCTTCTTCAGGGCCCCGACTGTATGGCCCCAGGGCCGTTGGGACACACGCGTGAAGCATGGTGCGCGAGCAACGAAGAGCAAACAATCTTAAGATGACTGGTGCACACTGAAGGGGCCCAGGGACACACACACACACACACACACATTAAATACACACAAATCCCAGGATTCCCCGTCCTTTCTCATATTCGGGTTTTGCCTTCCCCCCCCACTCCCCATATCTTCCCATATTTTCCTGGGAGTCGACGATTAACTGTGTCTGTGTGTTTCTTTCCCTCTTGAAATACTCGTTTCTAGACGAACGGATCTCGCCCCAGCGTCGCGCACATGGGCTCTGTAGTGGTTCCTGGCAACTGTCCATCCAAGGACGGCCGCTGAACATGCGGAGGATCGGGTACCGGTGCTGCGTGTTGGAAGGGCGGGTGGGAATAGGCCAAGCAATTTGAGCCTGGGAGAGGTAGCTTGATCACAACTCCCTATCAATGTACACCCCGTCCCCCACCCGACTGGCGACAAACCCGGGACCATGCGGGCCCCCCCACCAAAAACCATCCCTGTCGAAGAACAGTGCCACGTGCACTCTGCGGCAAACTCTCGGGCTATGTTCGGGGGGCCCGCGGGCACTTCGCACTGATCTGTTGACGGGGGCGGCGGGGGGTGCCAGCACATGGCCTGCTGCGCGAAGGGCCCGTACCCGTCAAGACACAGGACCAACTGCACTTCGCGGCCACGTAGATCTGGATCATGCGCGGGCACCCCGCGATCGCTTTGTATGGTTTTTGACACGGACGGCGGGGGTGTTGGCATATGGCCTGCTGTGTGCAGGCCCATCAGACATCATGACGGCCACTCCGCCGCGATTGCGCGTTGGCTTTTGACAAGGATGGTAAGGGGCCGACATGATTCCAGATGTGCGCGGGCGCACCTGGGGCACTCTGCGCGTGCCCCGAACGTGGTGCACCTGGCACGGCTGGAGCATGCGACACACTTGGCACACGTGGGGCACGTGGCGCATCTGGCGCACCAGGCTAACCTGGCACGTTTGGGCCTCAGAGGCGCCTGGCGCGCCTAGTGCACTTAGCGCGCGTGGCACGCGTGGCGCACCTCTCCCCAAGGTCGCGCACCTGTTGGTAGGGCGGTTGGGAGTGAGCTAAACAGTTTGCGTCTGGGAGAGGTGTCTTGAGCACAACTCCTCATTTATATACACCCCATCCCCCACCCAACCGGGGACAAACCTGGGACACTGCCAACACTCCCCCAACTATCCCTTGCCAAAAAATGCAACACGCATATTGCACCAACATCCAAGTCATGCGCGGGCGCCCCGATAACACTTTACCTTGGTTTTGAAAGGGATGGTGGAGGGTCGACATATTGCCTGCTGACTGTATGCAATGCCAGCGCCCTCCCCCTACATCCGTTGCACAACAAATGCGCAATCTACTTTGTATCAAAATCTTGACCATTCGCGGGCTCCCCGCGATGACTTTGCATTGGTTTTTGAGAGGGACGCCTGGGGGGGCATATTGCCTGCTGTGTGCAAGGCCAGCACCCCCCCCGCCATCCCTTGCAACAGGCAATGCAAAGTTCACCTTGCACCAAAATCAAGATCATGCGCGGGCGCCCCGCGATGATTCTGAATGGATTTTGACAGGGACGGCGGGGGGGGCATATTGCCTACTGTGCGCAATGCCAGCACCCCCCCCCACCCCCCATCCCTTGCAACAAAACAATGCAAAGTTCACTTTGCACCAAAATCAAAATCGTGCGCGGGTGCCCCTCGATCACTCTGCACTTGGTCTTCGACAAGGACGGCGGAGGGGCCGGCCTATTGCCTGCCTGCTATGTGCAGGCCCACCATCCCTGCCAACAACAAACGCAAAGCGATCGCGGGGGCAACACACACTACGCCATGCCAGCAAACCCGCCGTCGCTGCGCATATGTCTTCGACGAAGATGGCCGGGGGTCGACGTATTGCCCAATGTGGCGCACCTGGTGCGCGTGCGAGGAGGCGGAAGAGGATGAGGAGGAGGAGGAGGAGGAGGGGGAGGAGAAGGACGAGAGAGGAGGAGGAGGAGGAGGAGAATGAGGAGGAGGAAGAAGAGTAGGAGGAGGAGGAGGAGGAGGAGGAGGAGGAGGAGGAGAGGAGGAGGAGGAGGGAGAGAGAGGAGGGAGGAGGAGGAGGCGGAGGAGGGGAGGAGGGGGAGGGGAGGAGGAGGAGGAGGACGAGGAGGGGGAGGAGGAGGAGGAGGAGCACCTGGCACGTGCGGGGCACCTCGTTGGCGTCTCGCACCCGGCTGGTGTCTGCAGTGGTTCCCGGCGGTTGTCGATGGCGGTCGGCTCCTGCCTGCGCCGAGAGTCGGGTGCTAGTTGTGTCGTGAGAAGGCGGGTGGGAGTGAGCGACACAGCTAGCGTCAGGTCGGGCCTGTCCCCCTTCAGGGGGATCTTGGACGAAACATAAAAAATACCCCAAACATACTCCAAAAAGACCGAAAAGCAGTCAAAAGAAAGTCCCCAGACTATGTTTGGACTATTTTTGAATATTCCTCCTGTAGAGGGACAAGCCCGACTTAAAGCTAGCGGCGTTCCCGCTGGGAACTTTAATCCTCTCCCTGCCCCCTCACCTGGAGGGGAGGGGCCGCGAGGGGTTGGAGCGTCCAAGAAGGCCTCAGCGAGAAGACGCAAATCACTGATACTCCTTAGAAACCAATTCTGGCCTCCTGAGAGGGGGAGCCCTAATTCAGCCACCCCCCTCCCCCTTTCTTATCAAACTCCTCGAGGATGGCCCAAGATAGTCCTCAAGGCTCCCAAAAGTGCCCCAAGAGGCGCCCAAGAGGCCCCAAGCTGCACCCAAGGGGTCCCCAATAGGCTCCTAAGAGACCCCCAAGAGGCTTCCCCGAGGCACCCAAGATGTCCAAGAGACCCCCAGGACCGTCAAGAGGACCCCAAGACGCCCGAAGAGGACTCCAAGAAGCTCTCAAGAGACATCCGAAGAGACTCCGAGAGACACCCAAAAGGCATATCGCCCTTCTGCTCGCCCTCCTCCTCCTCCTCCTTCTCCTCCTCTTCCTCCTCCTCCTCAACCTCCTCCTCTTCCTTTTCCTCATCCGCCTATTCCTCCTCATCCCTCCTCCCTGCTCCCCCTCCTCCTCCTCCGATTCCTCCTCCGTCCTCTCTCTTGGGGTGTGACAACATCCCCAGCCCTTTATTTCCCTACATGCTCTTCTACTTCCCTAATCAGGGCAAAGCGCCTAGGCATCGTTTCTGGATGGGCTGGTGGGGTTACACGACGCGTTTTTTTCCACTATAACCAGCTCTGCTCGGCCTCAGGGTGACGAAAGCGGGTCGGTGAAACGCGACCTGGGAACTGAGTGTTCCCCAGACGAACGGCGAGTGCCCCACGTCTTATGTACACTATTGTACCAACCATCTGCAAAGTACGATTTTATTCGTCCAGGCGCCACGGGAAGCGTGATCAATCTCTGGAATCGGCTGGGCGCTCTCCCATCGACGCCGGCTGCATCTTCTTTGAAACCGAGGCTCCTGCTCAAGCGCATGTTTGGGGACCAGCTCCAACGACAGTGACTCCCGCTCGACACTTCTCACTCTGAGACGCCCTGGCCAGAAAGACCCCAAACTCAGGAACGGCGCTCTCGCCCGAGACTTGCTCGCAATTCCATCAAGCTTCCGGAGGCCGAACTGCGACGACAACGGTTCCCTCTCGATACTTCCTCTCAATTCACTCCGAGACGCCCTGGCCAGAAGCCTCCAAACTCAGAAACGGCGCTCTTGCTCAGTAGTTTCTAGCAGCTCCATCAAGTTGTTGGAAGCCCTTACTGCGACGACAACGGCTCCCGCTCGATAGTTCCTCTCCATTTACTCCGGGACGCCCTGGCCAGAGAGGACCCCAAACTCAGGAGCGGCGCTCTAGCTCGAGACGTCCCCGCAATGGGGCCAACGTCGTTGGACTCACAAACTACGACGACGGCGGCTCCTGCTCGATACCACCGCAATGTACTCCGAGACGCCCCCGCGATTCATCCAAATTAATCATCGCCCAGCTACAGTCGGGGCGTTGACCAAAGGAACCCTAAATAAGGAACGAGGCCCCTTTTTTCCATGAGTTGAACATCGATTTCCCATCGAAGACATAAGGAAAACCTGAGGCAAGCTGTGAAACACTTAAGGAACGCGGAGCCCCTCCCCAACGAAAAGGGTTCCTTCTTCAGGGCCCCGACTGTAGCCCAGCTGGGACGACGATGGCTCCCGCTCGATACGTCGTAACACTGTACTCCCAGGCGCCCTGGAGGAGGCACCCAAACGCAGGAGCGGCGCGCTCCACCGAGAATTCTCTCGCCCTTCGCTCCAGTTGGTGAGTTGCCCGCGGGCGTGCTGTCCGCATGACGGCCATGCCGGCGCGGTGCGCACAGGAGTGCACCGCGGAAGGCTCCTCGCGAGAGTGGGCGCGAAGAGAAGAAGTTCACGGGGGAAGAACGGTATACAATAAACTTTTTCGCTGTCGGGGGCGCCTGTCCCAGGGCGGCTGGAAAGTTTATACCCTTACGGTGGCACCGTAGGGGTATAAACTTTCCAGCCGCCCTGGGACAGGCGCCCCCGACAGCGAAAAAGTTTACTTTATACCGTTCTTCGCTCGCTGAAGAAGAGGGCCGGTTCCCGGACTTCGGGCGGGCGGGCAGACGGGAGAGGGAGAAGCACATGCAGCCCACAGCTCGCCATCGCTCGGGCGTCCCTTCCCTGTGTGTGTTTTTTCCGGTCTCGTGCGCGGCTCTTTTCGCCCAATGACCAAGGATGCTCCTCGAGGGTCCTCGCCGAAGGAAACATGCACACGTCCGAGCGATGCCAAGGCAACAGCTTGTTGGATCACTCAGCCGTCGCCGTCGGCGCCCAGGCAGGAGGGCAAGGAGGAGGAGGAGGAGGAGGAGGAGGAGGAGGAGGAGGAGGAGGAGGAGGAGGAGGAGGAGGAGGAGGAGGAGGAGGAGGAGTTGGATCACTCGGCCGTCGCCGCCGGCGCCGCGGGGCCGCGGCGCGGGGGGGCGGGCCGCGGCGCGGGCGGGTCGCGGCGCCGGCGGGTCGGGGGAGGGGTCGAGGCGCGGAGGGGCCGCGCAGCGCCGCGGCCCACGCGCGCCCCCGCGCCGCGGTCGGGTCCGCAGCTGCGGGGGGCGACGGCCCTCGCCAAAAGCGAAGGGGCCCTGAGGCACACAGATAAAAATACACACAAAATAGCAGGATGCCCCCCAGTTTCCCCATGCTTTCGGGGTGTTTGTCTCTTCCCCCTCACGTCCCAGTATTGTCCCACAGTTTCGGGGGAATCGGCGATCCATTGTGTCTGTGTGTTTCTTTCCCTCCTGAAAAATGAGCCTCAAGCATGTGCTGCACATCCAGCTTGAGCTTGTGTGTGTTTCTGGAGTGGTTGGCGGTGAACGCGCCGTGCTTCTTGGCGCGCCCCCTCCACCGTCAATCATCATCGAACTTTCGACTCGACCCTGCTGGACGAGCAAATACCCCCTGGCCACGACGTTTCCGGGCGTGCCGACATGGAAGGGGCGCCCCGACACGGAAGGGGCGTGGCCGATACTTCTGAGGTTCACTTCGCCGAGGGTTGTGGGTACGAGACTGCATCGGGGGCGCGCAAACATGGATTAGCGATCCATGGATTTGGCGCGCGGTCGCCGAACCCATGGATCGGGGGAGGCGCCCTCCCGAACATGCGGCCGGTGCTGCCTCGCTCGGCGGCGGAAGTCCGCAATTCCCCTTGGAAACGGGACCCGTCGCTAATCCATGCCCCTTGACCCATGTTTGCGATCGCCTGATGAAGACGCTTGCCTCGCAGACCCCCCGATGGACGTGCTCCCTCGGGGCCGTAGGCGACCCGAGGAGGAGGAGGAGGAGGAGGAGGAGGAGGAGGAAGAGGAGGAGGAGGAGGAGGAGGAGGATCCATGTTTGCGATCGCCTGGCTGTACGCGCTCAAGCTGCTCTGCAGAATCCTCGGACCTCCCTCGCCGCCGCGCCTCCGCGGGCCCGAACCCCCCAGCGCGCACCAGGTCGAGGGCGTCGATGGTGGCGTCCTGGGGCGAGCGCGGAGGCAGCGCACCTCTGGCTTCAGCCCTCCCCCCTCCCTGCCCCTCCCTCCCTGCCCCTCCCTCCCTGCCTCCCTGCCTCCCTGCCTTCCTCCCTCCCGCCCTGCCTCCCTGCCCCCCTCCCTCCCTGCCCCCCTCCCTGCCCCTCCCTCCCTGCCTGCCACCCATTTCTCCCTCCCTCCATCCCTCGCCACAGTACTGCCCCCCTATCGCACCAGCAGGCCTGTCCGTCGGCCGTGCTGGGCGTTTCGCTTACGACTTCCTTGCGACTCGCGATCAAGAGACGAAAAGGCCCCAACGATTATACGGATAGTGGGCGAGAGATTTTCAGCATGCTGCTATCGCCCTTGCGCATCGCAGGTCCGCGCTGAACCTTGGCAACCGCTCCGAATATGGAGCGCCAGCCGGTTTCATCATCATCATCATCATCATCATCATCATCATCATCATCATCATCATCATCATCATCATCATCATCATCGTCATCGTCATCGTCATCGTCATCGTCATCATCGTCATCGTCATCATCGTCAACTTCATCACTTTCACCATCATCATCACCACCATCATCATCATCATCACACGCACACGAATCAATCATCATCATCATCACCACAACCATCATCATCACCATCACCATGATCACCATCATCATCATCATCATCACCACCACCACCACCACTACAAACACCATCACTCATCAACATCGCCATCATCATATGTTCGTCGTCATCATCATGAATATCACCACAACCATCATCATCTTCACTATCTCCATCTCTATCCCCATCATCATCATTATCAACATCATCATCATCCCCATCAGCATCGGCACTATCACCGTCACCACCACCACCATCGCAATCATCATCATCATCATCTTCATCATCAACATCGTATTCATCTGCATGTTCATTTTCATCATCGCCATCGCCATCAGCATCATCAGCATCATCAGCAACAGCAGCATCATCACCACAAAACGAGCGCCAGTATCAGCATCAATAGCATCAGCCTCAGCATCAGCATCATCATCACCACGTTATCATCATCACCATCGCCATCGCCATCACCATCACCACCACCACCGCCATCTTCATCACCATCACCATCAACATCACCATCGCCATCGCCATCACCATCATCACCATCACCATCACCATCATCAACATCATCATCACCATCATCATAATCTTCTTCGTCCTTCCCGTCTTAAAGAGACGCCGCACAACGGGACGCCCACACCCTCACATCAGCAACATGCGTACGGAACACGACTCCTCCGAAGCATGCAGGGGCGTCTGCACACCGCTTGTGACGCTCTCCCGCGGCCCCTTGGCACCTCAAAACTAGGGCTACTGAAGACCCACAAGGATATTGAGATTTGGACTCCTCCCTGCTCCTCCTTCCTCCTCCTCCTCCAACTCCTTCGATAACTCGATAGGTCTTTACATCCCTCCAATACAGGAAACGAATTACCCGCTAGGATGATCCGCAAGGATCTTCCTACGCTACTGGAAGACCCGCAAGGATATTGAGATTTGGACTCCTCCCTGCTCCTCCTTCCTCCTCCTCCTCCGACTCCTTCGATAACTCGATAGGTCTTTACATCCCTCCAATCGAGGGGAAACGAACTACCGTCTCGACGTCCACATGGACGGACTGGGGCCCCACCGAGTCTCCGCGGCATCCGCCGCACAACAAGACGACCACGACTACGACTACGACTACGACCACGATACGGCTACGCCTACGACTACAATAGGGGGAAGACAAGCCTACCTCGCTTCCGACCACCCTCGCTTCCACGAGATACCAAGCGATGCCAAACTACGGCCTGTACTGGTCAGGCCGCTTGACGAGGAGGCGCGTGGTATGACTTGGTTTTTCCTGTAAGCGAAAGCGGGGTAGGTAATTCACGCTCTGATACAAGTAGTTCGTGATCTGAAGCACTGCCGCCAACTTGCACTAGATCCATGCTGGCACCTGAAATGCCGAAGAGGACGTGCACAACTGAAAAAAACGGCACCGATAACCAAGTGGAAGCCGACGACTAACGAACCACGGTGTGCTAAAATAGTACACCAGAACCGCGGGAACTGGAACGCGCACTGCAACGCAAAGGCCACAATGGACACGTAGGCGGTGCACCACCACCGAACTCTCCTCCTGCTCCTCCTCCTCCTCCTCGTCACTGTTCTCTTCCTCCCTCATCTGCCGCCGGCTCCTCTCTTCCTCATGCGCCTCCTTCTGCTCCCCTTGTTCGTTGCCCCTTTCTTCTCTCTTCTGCTCCTCCTCCTCTTCCCGCGTCACCTCCTCCTCCGCCGCCGCTGCCGCCTCCACCTCTTTGTGCTTCATCCGCTTCCTGCGACGCTCCCCTCCTTCCTCCTCCTCCACATCCTCCTCCTCGTCCTCCTCCCCCCCTCCCAGGCTCACCCCACGTCAATAAGAAGCCATGCCCAACACAGGACTTGACATGCGCAAGGGAGTAGGGAGAGGACGAACATCCAGAGCAAAACAAGCGCCCATCTCAGATTCTGCAACACGCCCTCCTGCTCCATAGCCCACTGCAAATATCATTATTATATGGTGCTACGGCCAGCAACCACATTGAGGAGCGGAACTAGCCTGCACACGATTCGTTAACTGTCAGAACAGTCATAGCGCATGAACAGAACATTCACATACGTGCCAACCGCAAACCAGATATTGCAAGTTGCAAGGGACTCGCCTTCCGCCCGTGTAAGCGTTACCACTTACATAGAAGTAGGTAAGGGGGAGTCTCAAGCGAGACCCCCAATTAGAAAAGCTATCGGTCTCCATCCGTACGACTGTTGCGTATTTACATATGTCGGATGAACCAGTTAAAAACTAAGGAGTCCACGCAAAAAAGGATGTCCATCCGAATCATCACCGCATGCTTTTAAAACGAGTGTGCACGGCGCTGAAGCAAGAGCTACCCTTTGAACCATAATTCACCTCAATCCGTTGAGCTGCTGCAAGCTTGTCAGACGAATACGTGCGGCGTAGAGGAAAGAACCATATGTGGAAAGCGGCTCATCCTCAATCCGTGTAACGGTTGCAAGCTTTTGGAACGAATGCGTGCAGCGTTAAAGTGCTAAGCCATATGTTCAAAATCACCTCCATCCGAACAAATGTTCCAAATTCAAGCCGTCCTCATTCGACTCTGCCTGCCCCGTTCAACGCTTCCATCTTGCCCCCTCCATCCGGAGGTCTTCGGACGCCCCTGGAGGTCCCCAGAGGCCCCCTCTGAGGCCTCCTGCAGCGGCCTCCAGAGGCCTCCGGGTGCAACAACAACAGCCGAAGACGCCCATCCCAGACCCAGGTCCGCCTCTCTGGCCCCTCCCTCCTCCTCCACCTCCCTCCTCCTCCTCCTCCTCCTCCTCCTCCTCCTCCTCCTCCTCATCCTCCAGGACGAGGGCTCAGCTGGGCTCCTTCAGCGCGCCGACGGCGCCCTTCTCGCGAAAATCGTCGACCATGTCTCCGATCGAGTCGGCGACGAACTCCGCCGCCTGGCGAGCGCGCTCGTCGGGGCGCGTCACGCACACTCGTCCCAGAGACGCCTCGTCTGCACGGTTTCCCCCGGGGCCGTAGGCGACCCGAGGAGGAGGAGGAGGAGGAGGAGGAGGAGGAGGAGGAGGAGGAGGAGGAGGAGGAGGAGGAGGATGTGGAGGAGGGGGAGAGGGAGGAGGAGATGGAGGAGGAGGAGGGAGGAGGAGGAGGAGGAGGAGGAGGAGGGAGCAGGAGAAGGAGGAGGAGGAGGAGGACGGGTCGCCTAAGCCCTTCGGAGAAACTCTCCACATTACTCCTCCCTCCGACTCCCCCTCTCCGCCGCCGCCCCTTCCAGGCCAATCACACGCCGTTCGGGCGAACGGTCCGCAACCAGTGCTGGCTCATGTGATCTACCACGGATGGTTCTCAACCGACTGCTTTTCCAGTCTCGCAGGAAAGATCATTAGGCACACAACGACGGGCCGTCCAAGGTATAAGCCAATCTCTCATCAGCATCAATCGATCTTTAAGGTTGCCTGGCACGGTTTGGCCCCAAGGCTGAAGAGTGGGCAGTCAGGCACGCACTGGGCTCATCGCGTCCCGAAGCCGAGAGCATGCGCTTGCACTCCAGACGAACCACTCGAAGACACAGACTCGGAGGAGGAGACATTCCTCCACAGTGGCACGCCGACGCGACTCATGGTGGGGCTCCTGGGCCTAAGCCTGGAATCTGGTGGACCATATTTTTTCTGTGCGTGCAGGAAGAGCAGCAAACTGGTACCGGGCTGCATCCGCCAAGGCCGGGCTAACGGCGATGTTGCTCAGCGGTGATGATGGGAACCACATTGTAGAAATATCGCGAACCACACTCTCCTACATCGCCGTTACCTGCATCGCCGTTAGCCCGTCTACAGTGAGCGGCTTGAATAAGGAACACTTACTTTTCAAAAGGGGCTCGGTCGTTCCTTAGGCTTGCATGCGTTATTTTATGCGTTACTCCTTGGAACAAAAAAGGCTCCGTTCCTTCTTTATCGCTCCTGAGGTCAGGCCGATGACTGTGCGCATCGGGACGACCCCACGACCGAATGAGAAACACGCATGGGCCTCCGAGCTCACCTTTGAGCAGGGACCGACCGTCCCGGCATTCCCATGAGCCTACCACGACATGTTCCTAGATCCCCAAAACGTTCGAAGAACAAAAGCACCGTTCTTAGATCATAAGCCCGATGTGTTAGAACAGGACAGTCCCAGCCAGAAAGGTTCTAAGAGAACTTCGTGGAAGCCACGAAGAGGCTCTCAGAACCTGCTCTGGTGGGCCCATCGGCGAGCCAGGACGCTTCGCCACTGCTTGAATGAAGGGGCCCTGGGACACACAAATAAATACACACAACTAAAAGGATTCCCCATATGTTTACATATTTTCTGGGTTTTTTGTCTCCCCCCCACTTCCCATATTTTCCATATTTTCCTGGGAATCGACGATTAATTGTGTCTGTGTGTTTCTTTCCCTCCTGATGCCAGGCCACACGAGGCTCGGCGTCCGGGCCCCGAGGCTGGCGGCCGCCTGCCCGGGCCGCCGCCGCCTCCCCCATCGTGCCGGGTGACCCAAAAGGGGGTCCAGCGACAAGGGGGTTTTGGACGCCCGAAATGGGCACTGAAACAATGGGCACAATGCCCAACAGCAAATGTTGCCCCGAACCAACAGCGGCCGCTGTTGGGCAGGCGGCATTCTGTCTCAAATGGACACAGGCCGCGGCGTCGCGGACAGCGAGTCCTGTTCGAAATGAACAGGAACTGCTGTTGGGCATCGTACCCATGCTTTCCGTGCCCATCTCGTTCGTGCAGGGGGGTGGTGCAATAGATTTGGTGCAATCGATTTGTGGGGTCGCAACACGTCTGGGACGTGCACTACATGCCGGGGCGCACGTGTATTGCTGGACATCCGCGTGCAATGATGCATTATACTTGCAACACAGTGCAACGCACGTCTCCCGCGCAATACAATTGCAATCTACACTTGCCCCAACTCTATTGCACCACCCCCTTGCAGCTGGACCCCCTTTTTTGCCGTCGCTCGGACGTCCATTTCCCGTGCATTTTCCGGTCTCGTGCGTGTCTTTTTCCTCGATGGTCCAGGACGGTCCTCGTGGCTTCTCGCCGAGAAAACATGCACACGCCCAAGCGATGCCAAGCTTTTGGGTCAGCCCGACTCCTGCCTCCCCCGCTCCTGTCTGCCCAACCTGGAGTGGAGGGTTTCTCCGAAGGACTTTGGCGACCCGTCCTCCCCCTCCTCCTCCCTCCTCCTCCTCCTCCTCCTCC